AACCGATAGCAACTGGAGACCGATCGATTTGACGGAGAGTGACCGTACAACAGAGAGTCACACGAGAGACTATCAATAACACCGATAACGACTGGAGACCGATCGGCGCGATGTAGAGTGGCCATTCGACGGAGAAGACATATCGGGAATTCAAAAAATCATCGGGGGAAACGTCTGGGCGGGAATTCAAAAGTCTACGGGGGAAACGTCTGGGCGGGAATTCAAAAGTCTACGAGGGAAACGTCTGGGCGGAAATTTAAAGTCTACGGGGAAAACGTCTGGGCGGGAAATTCAAAATCTGGAAGGAGGATCGGCGCTGTCGAACTCCATAAGGAGCTGTGAGCGTCGTGGGAACCATCTGGAAGAGCGAGTCGACTGGAAGACTACAGGCGAACGAGGACAAGTACGAGGAGAAGACACGTCGAGGGAAGGATGTCAGAATGTGGAGTATACCAAGGCAGAGAGAACAGCGAGTCTCTTTTTCATTCCCGAAGTAAGGGGAGAATGTGAGGAGTTGAATAACTCCCCACAAGTTAAGAAGCAAGCAGAGTAAGCGCATGCAAGCAGTGGCCTACCAGTTACCAATTACGCGGCGAATTCACCCGTAGTAACGGTAGTGCGGAGAGAGAGAGTGGTGAACTGAGCACCAGACAAAGCCAAGGAGAGTCCGAGAGGGACAGCAATACAAGAGAGCAGCGAAGGGCCGTGGGCAGAAGGAAGTAACGGGACGGCACCGGACTTTGGACCCTGATATTGGTGCCGGGCGCAGAGGGCGAAAGGTCGAACGGTAAAACCGTGGACTTTGGACCAGGAGGCAAGGAGACGCCGATAACTAGCGGTAAATGGAGGCCTATATAAACCGGCCGAGCACAGGAAGCTGGATCAGTCGATTTCTATCAAGTCAACAAGTAACACTCATCAAGTGAACAAGTAACCAGTGCAACATCGTGAAGGAGCAAGTAAAGCCGTGCGGAGTCATCAAGGAAACAAGATCGCTACGTCGAGACGTTCGGGACTTAGAGCTAAAGTCTCCGAATTGAGACACATGTAGCTGAGGTCTATACGGCATCACACGGCTAAGTCCAGGCGCTTTGTTACAACTTCTGTCGCGATTTGAGCTTGGCATCCCACCCGGCGTGTCCGACAAAGTGAACAAATAGAGTCCTTCGACGAAGAACCGTGGGCTCAGAAGCAAAGTGTCCAGAACTAGCTACCTGCCTACAAGGACTGCATTGGCGAACTCCGGCGTATGCCTGATCGTCCTGCAGGAACTGTACAAGGTCCTGGTGCGACTAGCCCGGAAGGACGCGCGTTTGTTCAGCTGGTGTCTCGAAAGGCGTATGCGTTGAGAGCACAGCGGTCCACCGCTAGAGTCCCAGAACGGCAGCTTACCGAGTCGCCAACAAGGAGCGGAGCTGGTCGAGATAGCTGGAGGCGGGCAAGGACAACGAGGACCCCAGGACGACGAAAACGAGCTTCGAGCGAGCAGCCCACACTTCGAATTCTTAAGCCTGCGGCAGAGAGGTTAGGGTGGAAGCGTTCGTCTAGAACCTGGCGTTTGACCAAGGGACTGCGTTGGCGGCTTCCGGCGTACGCCTGAACCGCCAGGTAGAAACTGAGCCGACGTCCGGTGCGACCGGCCGGGACAGAGCAAGGGACAGGAGGCTGCGGCTGCGAAAGGCGTACGCCTTGAGAGCACAGTGCCTGTTCACCCTAGTCTGGGAACGGTGACGCATCCCTAGTCCCTGTAAACCCGCCGAGCCAAGGGTGGCAGAAGACATCGCAAGCAAAACCGGCGAGGAAGACACCACTTCGCAGCCGGCACGATCCAGAGAGGCGTTCAACGCGGGAAGGAGACGACGGCAGGACGTGATTCTACATAACCAGTACACCACCCCGGCCGAAGGTCAAGTCGGCGAATAAAAGATCACTGCATACTCCCAATCTTTCTATGTGTTTTCACTGGTCAAAAGGGCGGTCACGTATATATAAATTTGGTGGGACGAACACTTACATCTTCTGAGCTAGCCGCACGACATTCGTAGCGAGCAGATAATAAAGAAAATCAGTTCGTTACAATGCTACTGGCAAATTCCAGCTGTCATCGTCTCCTTCCTGTGGCCCCTTCCGAGGATTCCCTGGCGGAGAAGTCCTGTCTATCATTTTCCCTTTTGACCATAATAAATACTTGCTCATAAATTTTTTCTACTCTATCTCTATTTAGATGTTTTATTAATGTTTATGTTTTAATTTTTATAGTTTTGATCCGGCTGCGCATTCACAACACACAATGACACCTTGAACAAAATAAACACAATTCAACTACAACAGGGAGGGAAAAACTCAACATTCAACGGAGCCAACTTCACCACCGGTTTTCCGTGTCTTCATTTACCAGCACAAGTTTCTCGGTGAGCACTGTTGACCATCCCATCTTCCACAGAAGACTAGGTGTCAAGGGCGCTCCCCACTCTAATATCTGTACTTCCCACTTACTTACATCACTAAATGATTGTTCTAGGAACGCCGTAAGTGCATCGCATCCTGACCTCATCACGGGTAAGTAAGGGAAGTTTTCCCTATTTGGACTACATCTGACTCAGGCTATTAATCTGCTCTATTTTCCTGGCGCTCGACTAGCACACCAGACATCGGGATAGTCGCTTACTAGCCGACTACATTTTTTCTGCTAGTGCCGAACCACCCTTACCAAGCACCCTCTTCCGTTCGTCAGATAAGTACCATCTCTTACAAAAAAAAAAGTCTGACATTTACTTTGGGGTATCTTTGCTTCCAGATCTCCCCGGCACCGCGCTACTATGAATCGACCATCAGGTCCTTCATAGGCCATCTTCACCGGCGTAATCGAATCGCTAAGTCCCCTCCGAGATCCTTACTCTCGGCTGGTTATTTATATTTCCCGCCGGCGTGCAATTTGCATCCTTTTCGACCCTTACGGATGATAGGATCAGCGCATCCACTCCTGTCATTTAATTGGAAACCATCTATTGTTACGGACCTGGTTTTTCGAAAATGGTTAAAATGGCTTGGAACTTTGTCAACGACTCTTTTAGCACCGTGGTCTGTCTTCAGTGGGAGCCGGAAATCATAGCCGTGGCTCTTATCCACTTGGCCAGCAGGCTGGGCAAGTTCACTGTGCAGGACTGGGAGAGCCGCCAGCCACAGCACCAGCGCTGGTGGGACATGTTCGTGTCGGACGTAACAATGGAGATCCTCGAGGACATCTGTCACCAGGTGCTGGACCTGTACCAGTCCACCCAAAAGGAAGCCCTTCAGCCCAGTAGCCCGCCACAAAAGCCACCCAGCCTGGCGGACAGCCCAATCATTCATTTAGAGGTGTTTGCGCACTTGGCGCTTGTATTTGAAGTAACTAGTTGTAGGGCGAGAACGGGAACCAATAAAGTTTTCGTACGTTCACTCTTGCGAATTCGCCTCGTCTCTCGCCACCGTAGCATAAGTTATGTTCTAAGAGAAATTATTGAAATATTAAATTTAGTTATCAATCGAGCTTCAGCGTATCCACTCCCTTTTCGTCGTCGTACTTTTGCAAAAGTTTTTACACAAATTATCTCAAAATAAATCGCCTCGAACCTACTGCAGTCACAAGTTTCGCGTTCTTAATAGAAAACAGTATTAAATTTTCAAAAGGAATTATTAAACCTGCGATTCATTGGTCAGACAAAATTAACAGCCTGAGCCAGTCATAAAAACGAATCCTGGACAAAATAATAATCCGGGTTGATGAAGCTACCGGAATATTTAATGAGCTCATAGCATGATTCGGGTTCTTAAAAATATAAAAAAATGTCTTGATGTGGTGCATAAAAACGTCCAAAGCTTGTTAAAAAACAATTTATGAATTTAAGTATATTTATTTTAAGTCAAATGTCGATGTTATTTGCGTATCAGAAACTTGGTTTATTCGATCTATTTGATCGTTCTGGCTATAAATTGATCGTTCTGATTGCGCAGGTAATGCTGGAGAATTAGCGATATACATGATACGATGAAATTGAATATACTTTTATTAAGCTAGCCAACCAAATGTCAGAAAACAAAACTTTAATTGGTTCCATTTACCCAGTATACAGACGTAATAATCAATGATGACTACAATGAAAATATTTTAAAAGAAAAAAGTAATATAGGGTATTTCCACAGAGATCCATCTACCTTCCACCAACCGTTGAAGGGACGCCATAAGGTTTTGCCGTTCCAAAAACTTCCTAGTTAGTCCGCCGTTAAAATTTGACGGACTTAGGCGAAAAAATGTATGCGATAGTTAGCCGATGTTTCTGCAGTCCATCCCTGAAAAACCTTTGGAATTTTTAACAAATGTGAAACTCCGATTTTCACATTCCACCTTCCGATTTCAGCTGATCTTAAAAACTGTAGCTCGTCAAAACATAATCAAAGATGGTTGACCTTTTACTTTGTTTACGTTTTGACAAGTCGCAGCTGTTCAGATCAGCTGAATTTGGAAGGTGGATGTGGTCTTTGGAAATTGGAGTTTCACATATGTCCAAAATTCCGACTGTTTTCCACAGATGGACTGTTCCAGAAGAAGGTTTTAGTATTAAAATTGTTATATTGTAATCGTAAGAAAAATTTTGATATTTTTATTCTTAAAAAACCATATATATATATGATAGATTCCATATCAAGATAATATTGTAAAATTTTGAATGAATATATTCTCAACCAATCGATTATGGCAGCAATTATTCTGAACTCCAGAGTTAATTCCAAAGTGTGCAGATACACTGACACAAGTAAGTTCACGTAAATAAAACTCTTTTATGCTCCGTGCTGAAACATACAACAACAATTGTATTCATACAAAAAAGTTCCAGTTAATTCAACGATATGAAAAAAAATTGAATTGTTTTCATATGTAAATACTTAGGGCTTAGAAAAATCTCCACGAGTAAACATTTTCCTCCGTTTTCTACAACACAGCTTAATATTGTTACGGAACTGCACCTTTCCCGGAGGGCAGCGCCGGCTAGCCACGGAGTTCCCAGGGTTCCCTGCAGTCCGAAGAATTGATTCCGACTCATCGAACGTCTCACATCTCTAACTTGACGATTACCATCACAAATCAAAACAAAACAAAAGTGTATTTACATCAAAAGCTGAGAAAATTGGACGAAATTGGTTGCTTGGGTGTAATTGCCACGACGCACCCACCCTTCCTTGGGTGCCCCAAAGCTAATGTTGGAGGCACACTCCATCTCCGACAGACCGGAGTCTATTCCTGGTGGATTAGGATCGGCTCATCTCCCCGCCCAAGGTAACTCACACAAACATTTCGGCCGTTTGTTTACATTTAATTTTGTGAAAGATTGATGATAAAACACATTCAGATTTAATTCTTACTCATAATCTACTCTTTTCGTAAGCAACACTTAAGGCCGATCTCAGACCGTCGCCCAGATGAGAAGTTGTCAAAGCGACAACAACTGAAGGAAAATTTTTAGACGCTGAAAATTATAAGTGTTTGGCAAAGTCGCCACGGATGTGAAGTATACGGCACCAATTTGGAGGCGTTTGCCCACCCGGGTCACCTAATCCTGAGGAGCTCCAAGGGAAAAGAAGGGACGTGCTATGCTTAAAAAAAAAACCCATAAGTCATTAAATTTCGCGATCCAATCTAGACGTTGTTGGTCGCGTGGCTAGGGTGCGGCATTAAGCCTCTAATTCCAGATTATATTTCACAGTGAGTATTTGAAACAATTTTGACTGTGCGATTTCATTAATTCATAACTACAACTTATTTATTGCAGAGTTTAACGATGGTTATAGTCCAGCCTGGTCGAAGCTGCCGCAAGAAGAAAACACCGCTAGCGGCGAAAACCAGCGCGAGTCCGCACGGAGCCAAATGGTCCGGAGGGTAGCTCGCGTCTGCGCCAGAGGAGCTGGAGACAGTGCGTCGGTGGTCCCAGAGATGACCACGTAGTCAGCGCGGGTATTCATTCCCGGAACGGACTCACCGAGGGAATGCTGATGCCGCTGCTGATGTTGCTGCGGCTGCGGCTGATGCTGATCGCTGCTGCTTCTGCGGCTGATGATGCTGATCGCTGCTACAGCTGGTGGACGACGTGGTCTTCACGACCAGGTTAGGTCCGCCAGGTAAGTATTTTGCCCTCCCGAGTCTTCCAAATTTCCGCGGCCCTTTAGAAAGGGTCCCCGGCGGCTTTAATATTTTTCAAAACCACTGATATTTATAAGTTTCTGACCAATAAATAACTACTCACTTCAAGTTGTCTCATTATTCTATTTTTTTTACACGACCGTTCGTCCACGACTTTTTTCACCAACTTAACTAATAGCCTGATTCCATTGCCGCATTAGTGGACTTTTTAAATGTGCCTGATTCCATTGGCGCATTAGCATTTAGTTAATGCTACTCCGACATGTGAGTGGCACGAACAGCTGATCTGGGCTTGTTTACTTTTGAATTTTAGCAAATCCAAAAGAAATTAATTAAAATTAATGAACATGAGTGAGTTTACTAAACTCTGTAATGCTCAGCAGGACATCCATATTGCGACCGAGACATTTGCCAACTTGAACGACAAAGAAGAGAAGCTGATTGCGTTGTTATGACGGGTTTGCAATGAAGGCCACCACAGTTTCTAAAAAAGGCAAGGATCCCCGTATATGTGGGAGTAATTTTATGCCAAAGATCCAGCAGTAAAGCATTGTGGTACTGCGAGCAGAATTTGCAGCGTGCGCTCTAGGTTTCAGTCATTTTTATACAAAATAGATTTTATATTCAAAAGACATCAAAAATTGCGCCAACCTTGCTTATAGAAAACAGCTGTTGTAGTGGTGGCACGAGCAAAATATCGTTAAACATCGGTATTTTCCAGTATTTTTTCTAAAAACTTTCGGGGCGAATGGTTTTTAATCGCATTTAAAAATCGCATTTATTTTAAATGCGGCATTTAGCCTTATGGGATTCCCTGTGTAAATAAATGCGCATTTGGCTAAATGCGTTTTAATGCGGCAATGGAATCAGGCTATAAAACCCTGACCTACTCCAAAGTCGTTGGCCATTTTCACTACCGCTCTCTCAAAATAGGCAAGTGAACGCATTCAAGGCTATTTAACCCAACGAACGAAACGTGTTAAAAAAATTAGTCTTAAAATTTAAAAAAAAAATTTGTTTAATTTCTTTTATTTATTGCCTAGACCCTGAAAGCACCATCCACCATCTCTAAAAAAGATGATCGGTTTGGTTTTGCCGTGCCAAAAATATTCCAATTATTCCCTAATGGTGGAATTAACGTTTTTAGCCGCACGTTTCTAGTTGATATTAAGCCGATTTTGTGTCGGTGCAACTCCAAAGTCTTGGCGCGAATAAATATGAATTGACATGGCGGCCATCTATGTTTCTGTAAACCAGAGGCGTAGTCGAAGGAGAAGGGAGGCTTGGTAGGTAAACGCTTTCCCAGGCAGCAGTTTGAATACAGAGTAGATATTAGCCATTATGTAAAAGATCAGGTACCCATTTAAAAACTAGTTTATAGCAATTCAAATAAAATAAAAGCAGGAAATAGTACTCATAAAAGAGTTTGATAGAGTTAAATACCCCCTCAAAAAATTCTGCTTACGCCACTGTGACTCTTGATGTATGTATGTACACCAGTCCACCATCACTGAATTATCCCAACCGTTTCGCTTAGATGGGCTCTTTGGGACTGGGCTATTAGCTAACTGCTTTGCTACGAAACACAAGAAAATTAATTAATTAATTGGCTCCTAACCATCGATGCTATCGATATTGCCATCGATTGTTTGACAGCTTTGAACAAGTAGAGGTAGAGATGTTTTGGTGAAAAACGTCGACGTTTCATCGATGTTAAGAAAGAAATTTGTTTTGTTGCTTATTACAGATTATTTAAATATTTGTTTTTGTTTAAATATAAAAAATGATCCCAAGCAACTGAAGCTTCGCAATACTTTTTCTGAGCTGGTTCCTCCACAATTTCATCAGAATTTGATGTTCCTAAAAAGTCATATTGTTAAACAGGCACCATGTGAACGTACAAATGTGCATATGGACACACGTACATGCCTTGCCCCTACGTGCAATCATACATACATAGAGTATGCCCATATAATAGCCTGATTCTATTGGCATTTAGCGTAATGCGAATTTATTTACACAGGGTATCCTATAAGGATAAATGCCGCATTTAAAATAAATGCGATTAAAAACCATTCGCCCCGAACGGTTTTAGAAAAAATAACAAAAAATACCGATGTTTAACGATATTATGTTCGTGCCACCACTACAACAGCTGTTTTCTATATGCAAGGCTGCAGCCATTTTTGATGTGTATTGAATATAAAATCTATTTTATATAAAAATGACTGAACCTAGAGCGCACGCTGCAAATTCTGCTCACAGTATCACAATGCATTGCTGCTGGATCTCTGGCATAAAATACCTCCCGTATATTCGGGGATCCTTGCCCTTTTTAGAAACTGTGGTGGACTCCATTGCAAAACCCGTCATAACAACGCAATCATTTTCTCTTCCTTGTCGTCCAAATTGGCAAATGCCTCGGTCGCATTATGGATATCCTGCTAAGCATTAAAGAGTTGAGTAAACTCACTCATATTCATTATTTTTAATTAATCATTTGGGTTTGCCAAAATTCAAAAGCAAACAAAACCAGATCAGCTATTCGTGCCGTTCACATGTCGGAGTAGCATTAGCTAAATGCTAATGCGCCAATGGAAACAGGCACATTTAAAAAGTCCACTAATGCGGCAATGGAATAAGGCTATTACAGGTTTTCCTTGTTCGTTGCGCAGTTGGAAAACATCGATGTTGGCTTGCGGAACATCGATGGTAACATCGATGTTACCGATGTTTTAAAAACATCCATGTTTCTCCACCTCTATGTGCAAGGTGTCGCAGTGCTCCCAAAGGCTGCAAGTCGTGTTTATTTAGCACCAAAAATAAACCCGAAATCTTTTCTGAGATGCCGTGCTGGTACTACGACAAGAAGGAGCTGCGCGAGACGCCGTCGATCCTGGACGGCATAGACTTTGAGACGGAGCGACGCTACCGCAAGGAGGGCGCCCGCTTTATCATGGAGTGTGGCACAAAGATGGGCCTGGGCCACAACACGATGGCCACTGGCGTGGTGTACTTCCACCGATTTTACATGTTCCACTCGTTCCGCAGCTTCCCGCGCTACGTGACTGCCTGTTGCTGTCTCTTTTTTGCCGGCAAGGTGGAGGAGACGCCAAAAAAGTGCCGCGACATTATTAAGATGGCGCGCGGCATTCTAAACGACAATTACTTCTTTTCGTTTGGTGAGGATCCCAAAGAGGAGGTGATGACGCTGGAGCGCATCCTGCTGCAGACTATTAAATTTGACTTGCAGGTAGAGCACCCGTATACCTTTCTGCTTAAGTACGCAAAGTGCTTCAAGGGCGACCAGCAGAAGCTGCAGAAAATGGTTCAAATGGCTTGGAACTTTGTCAACGACTCTCTTAGCACCGTGGTCTGTCTTCAGTGGGAGCCGGAAATCATAGCCGTGGCTCTTATCCACTTGGCCAGCAAGCTGAGCAAGTTCACTGTGCAGGACTGGGAGGGCCGACAGCCACAGCACCAGCGCTGGTGGGACATGTTCGTGTCGGACGTAACAATGGAGATCCTCGAGGACATCTGTCACCAGGTGTTGGACCTGTACCAGTCCACCCAAAAGGAAGCCCTTCAGCCCAGTAGCCCGCCACAAAAGCCACCCAGCCTGGCGGACAGCCCAAATCCCACGGACATCGTGTTTTCCACGGTGCAACAACAAAAGCCGCCACCCCCAAGTGGAAACGATAGCTTGCTGGCAGTCAGCAACATCCAGAGCATCAAGACGCTGCCCATCCTGTGTACCGGTTCTAGCCCTGGGTTCCATCCGGCTACACATGGCCCAACGCCTCTTGTCCATACCCCCGGCTACCACCTTTACCACGCTCCGCCACCACCTCCTCCGCCGGTCGTGCCCATGCCGCCCTACCCCTCTCCCAGCTGGGCAATCCAGCAGCAGCCGCCCACACATTACGGTAGCGGCGCGGCACCTCCTCCGCCAATGCCACCCAATCTGCCCCTTGGCCCTAGTGGGTACTATAGCGCCGGCGGACGACAACCTCAGCAGCGGTACCAGTAAAAGGACATGATGGTTCGGTTCGAAGATAACCGAGTTAAAATATTAATTATTCATAACGCGTAATTATATTTAAAAAAAAAGCGTTTTAACTTAGATTTACGGATTTAGAATTTGGCAGGGACCCAGTTGAATTGTTTCACGAGTGGGCAACTAAATTTCTTGACTACTTAAACTTTTATTCAAATTTGGTTTCCTCGTATGCAGCTCCGAAATTCATCACTGCATAAATCACCCTTTCACCAGTCTGTCGACTGCAACGCCAGCATATTTGACATTTTTACTCGACAATCGTAGCAAAAATTGAAATTGGAAACTAGGGACGAATTTTTGGCGTTGATTCACAAATTATTAAATCTGGTGAACCGGGTATAAAAATTTAAACGCAGGCTAATTCTCTTATACTTACAATTGTTTATTTATTCAAAGAATACTTAATTAAAAACGAAAAAGTACAAAATAAAGGTCACAGCTTATTTTAACCAAAGAACAAAGTAAACTCATAATATTTTTGGCCATTAATAAAAAATCTAAATATATAGTTTTATCACCCTTCTAATCAAGAAAAATTTTATAACGTATTGAATATTGAGAGTATGAGATTTTATGGGTGATATTAGCTAAAAATTGTATATTTTCAAACGTATCTCGACATTTTGGATATCGCTAGTGTCCAGAGACTGTTATGGCGATACTTTGGCTATAACGAAAACTTTAATTATTAGGAAGATTTTCCAATAATTCTTCAGAACGAGAAGGCATATTTGTTCAGGATCCAAACAATTTCTTTTGCAGGACCAGCACTCGACGTACAGGCCCACAACAAAGCGCAATAATAAACCAACAGGTTTATCTAGGGTCGCCCCAATATTAAAAACGTTTGAAAAAAATAACATTTTCAACCAAAATCACCAAAAAAAAAACGCACTGGTAAGGGAGTGGGGTACCATTTTATCAAAAAAGAAATTGATAGAATAAATTCAAAAAGTAATGAAACTCTACTTAACACTTTTTTAATGACCATTATTTTTATGAGTTATTTGGTTCAAATTAGGTTATTAATTAAAAAAAATATTTACATATGTATATATGTTAAGTATTTTTGAATGAATAAACAACAATGTTAAGCATCAGAGAAATAAGCTGTGAGCCCCCGTACGAGGTGCGATACTTTATGCTTCTGTGCTTACGCATGTACTAATTGTTTCTAGTTAGGTTTTGTGGAGGTGGCAGATACATTGATAACGGTACTATATGAATTTTGCAAACGTTAACGGTTAAGTAAGTTAAGTTACGTAAACCCTTGCGTGTGTATCTGGGTGAGTTCGTGTGGGAGTAAGAAGAAAGGTTTGCGAGTACACCCTAACATTTGCGAGTCAAAGTTAGCTCTCCGCTCTCGTAATACTGCGGGATCATTAGAACTTCAGGCAGGGCGCGACTGCAGGAAGGCGTCGAGGAAGCCTGTGCCGATGTAAATGCCGCTACCGTTGCCTGTCTCACAATATGGCCAACTTTTCCTGAAAGCAGAAAAAACAAAAATTTAAAATTTAATAAAGACCAGGCACACACCGTAAACACAATAGGCGATGTTTTTTTTTTAAATTTAAAAACAGGACAGTTCTATGTAGTTTTCACTTTCGAAAAATCCTTACGGAATCTAAATTCCCTTTGTTACTTCTATGTAAGCTTTCTCACGTTTACTTTTCGCAATGCAACTCCGCCAGCAAAGAAATAAATTGTTTTGAAATACTTTGCGATAAGTTAACGTGCAAATGATATTTGTATCCATTCTTTATTATTGTACAATAAAATTGGTTAATAACATATATATTTTACTTTTTTTAAATTATTTTTTGGTTGCAAGGGCTGTCATGGTAAAAAAAAAAGTATTTTCTTGGTGTTTATCTTAAGCAAACCCTTTTGTGTTCGTGATATGAAAGGTATTTAATCTAAGTTAAATTTAAAAGTGTTTTTGTGTTTATTACCGCTTAATTTAATGTACTAATTGTGTGAAACGTGTTCTTCTTTCATCGAACTCGGCAACCCTTTCTTTTTTACTTTTGCAATAAAAAAGTGAATTGATTTCAAAACAACCTCAAAAACGCATTGAGCGCTAATAACGAAAATGTAAGTACGAAATAAGATTAAAATTTACATATTAATCGACTATTTTCAGGCGGAAGCACAAGAAAACAAATCAAAATAAAATATTCCCCGATTTCATGATAAACAAATAAGGAAGCAAACTTCGGCAGCCGAAGTTTATATACCCTTGCAGCTATTGCAAAAACTAAATATTCTTGAAAACATTAAAATTATGATTTACTTGCGTATATGTTTAAAAACATTGAATATATGATGATTTGCAGTTTAAATATTCAATACTTCCTATGGCAGCTATATGATAGTTTTCCGATTTCAATAAAATTAAAAGCGGTAGTCTGAACTGTCAAATTATTAATAAGTCAAACAAAATTTAAAAAAAAAAGTTACAAAATAAAAAAATATAACTTACAAAGAAAAATTGATGATGTGTTTTTAATGTTTCCATGGAAAACCGTATTTCATAAATATTTAAGCATTACTATATGTCGAGAACTAAAAAAAAAATTAAGAAACAGCAAAGTTTTAATTTTTTTTATATTTTTTTCCGATTGTTCCTATGGAAGCTATATGGTATAGTCGTCTGATTTTAATAAAATGTAAACCGTAATTCTAAAACATTCAACCATAACTTTTACGTAGACAAACTAAAAAAATTTGAAACAAGAAAGAAAGCAAACTTCGGCAAGCCGAAGTTCATATACCCTTGCAGCTATTGCAAGAATTAAACATTTTTGAAAACATTAAAATTATGATTTACTTTCGTATATGTTTAAAAACATTGAAGCTATGATGATTTGCAGCTCAATTATTTGATAGTTATTTTATATATTTTTATTATTTCTGAGGGAGCTATATGATATAGACGTCCGATTTTGATAAAATTTAAACCATAATTCTGAAATATTTAACCATTGCTATATGTCGAAGAACTACACAAAAAATTAAAAAACAAAAAGTTATAATTTTTTTCATTTATTTTTCCGATTGTTCCTATGAGAGCTATATGATATAGTCGTCCGACTTTGATGAAATTTAAACCGTAAATCGGAAATATTTAACCATTACTAAATGTCGAAGAACTAAACAAAAAAAATAAAAAACAGAAAAGTTATAATTTTTTTTCATTTATTTTTCCGATTGTTCCTATGGGAGCTATATTATATAGTCGTCCGACTTTGATGAAATTTAAACCGTAAATCGGAAATATTTAACCATTACTAAATGTCGAAGAACTAAACAAAAAAAATAAAAAACAGAAAAGTTATAATTTTTTTTCATTTATTTTTCCGATTGTTCCTATGGGAGCTATATTATATAGTCGTCCGACTTTGATGAAATTTAAACTGTAAATCGGAAATATGTAACTATTACCAAATGTCGAAGAACTAAACAAAAAATTGAAAAACAGCAAAGTTATAATTTTTTTCATTTATTTTTCCGATTGTTCCTATGGGAGCTATATGCTATAGTCGTCCGATTTTGATGAAATTTAAACCGTAAATCGGAAATGTTTAACCATTACTAAATGTCGAAGAACTAAACAAAAAATTAAAAAACAGCAAAGTTATAATTTTTTTTCATTTATTTTTCCGATTGTTCCTATGGGAGCTATATGCTATAGTCGTCCGATCCGGCTCGTTCCGACTTATATACTACCTGCAATAGAAAGACAACTTTTGGGAAAGTTTCATGCAGATAGCTTTAAAACTGAGAGACTAGTTTGCATATAAACGGACGGACAGACTGACAGACGGACGGACAGACGGACATGGCTAGATCGACTCGCCTAGTGATGCTGATCAAGAATATATATACTTTATAGGGTCGGAGATGTCTCCTTCACTGCGTTGCAAACTTCTGACTGAAATTATAATACCCTCTGCAAGGGTATAAAAACGGAAAATTATAATTTTTTTTTATTATTTTTCCGATCATTCCTATGGGAGCTTTATGCTATAGTCATCCGATCCGGCTCGTTCCGACTTATATACTACCTGCAATAGAAAGACAACTTTTTTTTTCATGCAGATAGCTTTAAAACTGACATGGCTAGATCGACTCTCCTAGTGATGCTGATCAAGAATATATATACCTTATGTATATATATCGGAAATGTCTCCTTGACTGCGTTGCTTCTGACTGAAATTATAATACCCTCTGCAAGGGTATACAAATGAAGACATCGCCAGGTGCCTTATAATACCCTCTGCAATTGTATAAAAATGAAGACATCGCCAGGTGCTTTAAGGAAGAAGACCGTGTGGCCGTTGATGCCAGATGGCGTGGAAAAAATTAGGACTTTTAATACTTTTTAATTATTAATAAATATTTTAAACATTTATCATTTATTGGTATGGTGTAACTGGAAAGCCGCTGTGAAGAAAAAGCGGACAATAGAAGAGCATCTTCTGCTACCGGTATGTGGACTTTACGAAATGGTCAATTGGACCGAAAGAGGATAGTCCTTTGACCTTCCTGATTTGGATCAAGCTGAGGTTCAGGCGTTAATACAAACGGCTAAAAGCACATCCCAAATCTGCTAGTACTAACAAATTGCTGTATATTGATAGAAATGGTCTGGTCCTGCCGTCCTACCAAATAAAAGACTCATGACAAGCGCCAGGGTAAGTGGCCTCTATTAAAAACATATCCATATTATAGTTGCATACCCATGCATATGGGTATATATTAATAAATTATTTAAGTACAAACTTACCACCATTGCATTAATGCTGAAGTAGTCTTTTCGATTTAAATATAATGAACTGGCTTTGTAATCCTTCGATCGCCCGATGTCACTTGAGTTCAATAACTCTTTAGATAACGGCTTTATAGCAGCAGGTGGATATAACGCAAAACATCAATATTGGGAGCTCCCGCCTCGCTAACACTAAAGATCGTCAATTGTACAAACCTCCACCACCCCAGCCAAGTAAGAGTTTGTTTCACCGGGTAGACCTATCTACTGATCCAAAAAACCACCCAGCTATAACTGATTTTGATGTAAAAAGTAGAGTGCAGCCAAGTTTAAACGGCGCTGAAACACTAGCAGATGTCATCTGACCAGCCAAAACTTCCACTGACAATCTCAACATCGAAGCTGCAGTACCTTAAGGAAGCGTACTAGGTCCAATCTTGTACACTTTTTCAACATCGTACATATATACAAGCCATCAAATGGTGTTATCATCCTTTGCTTATTACACTGCAATTGTCTGCCGTTGAAAATCTCCAAATACAGCAACCGAACATACAAAACATTTCGTGGCTGTAGAAAAGTGGCTAGCTGACTGGCGTACACAAGTCAACGAGCAAAAATATAACCATATCACGATTACGCTCAACCGAGACATTTGCTCACCTTTAATAATAAATTAATTCCAAACGATGACACCTATCTTGGTATACACCATACTTGAAGAAACCAAATAGAAATACCTGCTTAAAACTAAAGGTCAGCAGTTTCCATGGGCTTAATAACTCCCGCTCTCCGCATCAATGGAAGCAGCAGCAACATAGAGATTATCAAACGATCGCAATCTATAACTCTGAGAACAATCTCTGGGGTCCCCAGGTATATTCGCAAAGTCTACATCCACAGAGACCAGGATATAAAACCCGTAAAAGAAGAAATGGAGAGCAGGAAAGTTAACTATAACACCAGTCTGTCAATACATAAAAATCAACTAGTCAGACAGCTATACCGGCTCAGCAGCCATACCCGATTATTTTCTAATATTTTGTAAAATTACCCCGCTGTCCAGTAATTCTTTATGTTTACTAAAGCTGGGTGTTATTTTATGTCTCCTATTTTCATTCAAAAAAAAAAAACAGAATTACCAACCGATTAGTCGGGGGATCAATCCTAGTTTCGTTTAATCATTCTGTTAGTTTTTAATTCGTGTTCTCTCTCTTTTTACTTTAGGATATAGTATAGTGTTAAATATATAAGCTAGATACCATTTTTAAGCTAAATACCATTTTTAAGTTAAGGTTTGAATACTTCTTGTTAGTCTTTTAGGCAACACGAGGTGGTCCAATAAATATAATTAAACATTATAAAAGTATTTTCACTATAGTATTTTAATAGGCAATCGTCGAATCTTTATTTGATGAGCCGTGGTTAAGTGGTTAGAGTGTCAGACTAGTATTCTGTCGGTCATGACTCATAAATTTAAGTTAAAAGCATAACATTTTTTGTATTGTTTATTTAATGTTGTTTAATTTATTAAGCACTGAGAAATGTAGGCGACCCAGAAGCTCGGGGGTCTCCACTTCCTCGTAAATAAGTTATAGGACAATAGGATATCAACATGCATGAATACAGTCAACGCACAACATCCCATCGTATACGATGCCTAAAGTGGATTGATCCAATGAATGTCATTAAGCATTTAGCGCTTTTTAAGTCCAACACCATGTTAAAATGCATTAAGATCCGTTTGTAGGTCTGAGGTGAGGAAAGTTGCAGGTATAACTTAAGGGGCCATACCAGTGGGAGACTTTTTTTAAAAAAAAAATTTTTTGTTGACACAGTTAAAACTTTTAAAACTGTTATTTTAATAGAATTAAAAAAAAATTCAATTTTTTAACACCAAAAAACGACATTTCTGTTTAAACCGACGCTATTTCGTTAATCTTTCATAATTTTCAAAGATTGTAGGTCTTTGTAAATTTAAGCTTTAATTACCTTTTTGTGCGAACAAAATTTTAAAAAATTGTATCGAGTTAAAAACAATCCCACAATTTAACTTCTTTTCTATTGGTTACTGCGTACATGAGGACACGCGACTTGGTCGAGACTAGAGGTATATCGTTAATAAATAATGTAAAAAGTAGTGGACCAAGTTGGCTCCCTTGTGGGATGCCTGAAGTAACTTGGATCATTTTAGAGAAATCCTTTTTTTTTTTAAGGATTTAGTGAAATTTGATAAAAAAAATATTTAAATCTTATCTGTTACGGCGTCATTTCCGATAGTTCCTTGGAAAAAAGGTCTCTCCGCGTTGACAGCAGAACTTTTTACTGGATCATCAGAAGTAAAAAGTACGTGTTTTAGTTAAAACCGTTAACTATTTATTGGACGAGGACAAAAAATCCAAATTGTATTTTTGATAGGCATTTTTACTATTAATGCATATTTTTGTAAACATTTATCGACGTTTTTTATTTTTTTAAATTGTTGTAATTGAATTAAAAATCATCTCGAAGACCTATGCAAAATATTATTACGATCGGTTGAGAAGATCGCGAGAAATCTTAACAATCGCCTTTGAAAGCACGGCTTCGAGAAAAAGTGACAATACAAGTGGGGAGCGCACAACTTTTCAAAGTTGTATCTCCAAAACTATCACTCGAATCAACAAAAAAAAAAAAACAATTTTTTTAAAATACTTTTAATTGATTCTACAACTATTGAAAAAAAATAATTTTTAAGTTTTAGCAGGATATCTTAATTTTAATAGAAGTTACACCACTTTCAGAAAATGATGTAAATTATATTTATATACAATTTTTCTGTATCCGTTTTTCTTGAAACTCATTTTTTTGATTTTTTATAAACGATTGAGATTAAACAAATCCTGCTCTACTATAGCTCATTTTAAAGATAATTAAATTATCTTTTTTTTTTAATTTTAAACTCTCTTTTTAAATATGGAAAAATCCTTTTTTTTTAATGTGGGTAAAAATCAATTTCTACATATTTTTAAAATTTCACATCGAAGGTTTTTTCTTAAAGTTTTTTTTGTTTCAGAAGACAATTTAGAGTGCTGGAATGAGTTGCCATGGTCACAGCGTATAATCCAATACTAAAAATTATTTTTTGTTCTGAAATCCTGCTCCGAAATTAAAAAAAACCAAACCGAAATGCCAGTTTCTTAAAAACAAATTTTATTTTCTTACACAATATCGGCATTAAATTGCTTTTAATAAATTATATATTTGTCGGTAAGAAAAAACTTCGATTTATTACTCAAAAAAATATTTTAAGCAGAACTGGAAATAAAAAATAAAATTGGTATGAAAACAGGTGAACAACGTTTAAATTAAAAAAAATGGTGCCATAGAAAAAATGTTGAGTGTCATTTTCTGAATCAGGGAGTACATTTGAGGAGGATTTCGTCGATTAAAATTTGAAAACCCGTGATAAAACTTATTTCAACAATAATATGATAAATACAAAAATAAATAAATCAAAGGTGAAGCAGCGAATGAAAGAAACACGTGTACTTGTAGATTAAAGAATAAATGCTTTTTAATTATCTAAGTATATTTTGACGGTTGATACATAACTCGCGTGATCTGCGGCTTGAAGCTGACTGACTTATAAAAAAGGGGTAGAGTCGCGCTTATCTACACTTCTTTAGGTTATAAATGAGGGAAGAGAGATAAGCCGTTACTTTTAAGCTTTTACATATGATTCTCATCTCTTTATGATATTGGGCATAAAGAACTGATCATATCGTTTACATTTGTTGCTTTGATTTACATTACATAGTTTCAACAAAAGGATTATTTATGTTTATAAATTGTCTAAAACCCTTAATCTACTGTTGAAATAGGTAATTATTTTTTATCTGTGTACTTAACATTTTTATAGGTAAAATACTATTTACATGGCAATTAGCAATTACTCATAGGTTGCGACAATTTTTACTATTAAATAGTTGATTTCTACCCATGATTCTTTTGTTTGTAGCTAGGGTGACAGGGGTTTTGTTCAGAAATCAGCTGACTACTGTAGATTTGACATCCGCTGTTAAATATAATTTGTGATCATTTATTTTGTATACCCTTGCAGAGGGTATTATAATTTCAGTCAGAAGTTTGCAACGCAGTGAAGGAGACGTTTCCGACCCTATAAAGTATATATATTCTTGATCAGCATCACTGGGAGACTCGATACAGCCATGTTCGTCTGTCCGCCTCTCCGTCCGTTTGTACGCAAACTAGTCTCAGTTTTAAAGCTATCTGCATGAAACTTTCCCAAAAGTTGTCTTTTGCAGGTAGTATATAAGTCGAAACGAGCCGGATCGGACGACTATAGCATATAGCACCCATAGGAAAAATCAAATAAAATAAATGAAAAAAAACTATAACTTTGCTGTTATTTAATTTTTTTTTAGTTCTTCGACATATATGTAGTAATGGTTAAATATTTCAGAATTGCGGTTTAAATTTCATCAAAATCGGACGACTTTAACATAAAGCTCCCAAGAAAACAAAAAAAATATATAAAAAAAAAATTATAATTTTAACTTTTTTATATTGTTATACTATATATAGCCGCAGAATTGAAAGTCTGCTGTGAAGGCCGGTTCGTAACGAGCTATACACCAATCGAAAGGCAAGACTTTAAGAAAATTATTTTGTTCAGGAGATAGGGAGGTGAATGTGACATACTAAACATTATTTTAAGTGCCTTCTTAGGCGTGGGTTGGTAAAATATTTCAATTTTTTGTCTACTTAAATTTTTATTGTTTTGGGCAGATCGTTACAAAAAAAGTTTGTCCTACGACTTTTTGAAAAACTAGCTTATATGACGAAAAATCGCTGAAAATAGCTAAACTTTGCACGGCTATAACTTCTAAACTAGTGAAGCTACAAGTGATAAATGTCACTAAAAAAGTATTGTCAAGTTGTTAAAAATTGTTAGAGCCAATTTTTGTTTACATTTAACGTCTATAGCCCTTGAGATTCCTTAACTTTTTGAATATAACAAACGCAATAAATTAAATACACTTTTTAAATGTTCCAGTTCAACGCTGAGATACAAATGCCTGTGTAGGCAAAATACCTGGATTAAGAGGTCCGAACAGGAACATTTAAAAAGTGTATTTATTTAGTCAAATGTTCATTCAATTTTCGTCACAAAATTTGGTATCAGATATTTTGTATGCTGAATGTGGTGCGATCGTTACGACTTTTTTTTCCTCGTTAGGATGTGTTGTATGACTTCGACTTTAACTGAACTTCAGTTCAGTGCGCCAGTTACTTTAAAATTAACAAGGATAAATCTTTGGTTTGGGATATAGGATAAATGCCTGCGCATAAAAAAGCCGATTGCTTGTATATTTCCCAAGTTTTTAAACTGAGCGGGTAAATTTCTCGGAAACAATCAGACAGAAGGGAGGGGTCGGAAATGCCTATATGCGATACAGTTCTTACAAAAATTTGTATATCCTCTGCAAAAATTAAAAACGTCTTACCCAACACATTCGTGCAATGAAAGCGCGCATTTAACTGCCGCAGGGGAGACAGATCTCGATAACGTTTCCAGGCATCGAGTATGTCGGCCACTTTAATGGGCACCAATTCAGTAGTGCCTGCATCTTTCTATAAACGAGGGGAATGACCATAGTTATAAAAAGGGTATGACCCACAATAATATAAAACCAACCCGCTTAAATTGCACGATTATCTGCTTGTGGGTCGCCAGCTCGATCAGCCGTTTGACCTTGCGGTGGTTTCCTTGACGCTTTGAGGCCTGCGTAAGTAGCTGCTTAAGATTGACACTGCTGTCCGTCTTTCGCCGTTTTTCCAGCAGGTTAAAATAGCTATGCAGTATCTCCCTGTCGTAGGACACGTGCAGTTTTTCCAGCGCCTGCACTAGGTGCTTCTCATCGCATGTCTTATCTGTAAACAGTCGAGCCACCAGCGGCTCACTTGGAAAGCTTTTGTTGAGCAGCTGCACCGGCAAGAGATGATTCCATTACACACATTTAGACACCAGCACGATTCACTTACCTGTACGATGTTAAAATTATTATCACACGAAATAATTTTTTGGTTGTAGGCTGGACCCAAACTGAGGTCGGACTCTGTTCCGGCTCCTGAGAAATCGAGCCATCCGGCGTACAGGCTATTACCAAAGTATCCTGGCAAACCACTACGACAGCGCGTCTGCTCCGCGCAGGCGTAGAGCGAAAGGCTACTGACTCGCCCACCTACTTGCCTTCGGCACTTGGGGCACGTGCTTTGGTCCAGGGACTTGCCGATGGTGTTAGCCAAGAACTCCTTTTCCAGACAGTCTAGGCAGTTTTCCTCATTATAGCTTAAGTCGAAATGGGCCATACAGGAGGAAGACGAGGCTATGGCCAATACTGCCGCCGATGCGACCAAAATGGGAGGTGCTTGACTCTGCCCTAACCCTGACTGCTGCTTCTCCCATGATGACACCGAGGTTGCCCGGAAATCAGTGCAACTGTAACAACGTTCGTCGAAACTGATCGAGGGCTGAGTGCGGCGCGACTTGGATGAGGAGCTACTTTTGGACATTACAGACGAGGACTGGGATAGTCGCTTTGGCTTAGCACCCGTCACTTTGGGCTCCGGATGTTCGCTGGGCATGGTTTTGCTACGCCCAAAACTAGAGTCGGTGTACAAGGCGTTTGGCAGCGAGTGTGCTTGGGCCGACTCAACCAAATGTCCATCCCCGGTGGACTCCACTTTGTCTCTGTCCTTGATTTGGTTCAGATTCAAGCTTATACGAGCGAACTTCTTGCTAAGGCGCTGCTTCTGCTGTTGAAACACATCATCCTGCAAAAAATCGTCGATAGGCGAGCTGTACAGCTGCCTTTCTTGCGTAGGAGTGGCCAAGCATATGCCGCTTATCTGGCTATAGTCGCGCTGCATCAGCAACAGATTGGCCTGCGGCATTATGCCCATATCCTGAGCTCCTCCGGTGAATTCCAGCTCCGAGGACGGGTCCGGTTCAAAGTCCATTTCCAAGAACTCGGTTTCATCATCGACGCCTCGTTCAGCACTGACGGGTCCTAGGTCGAAGTCTAGGTGATCCCGCCCTCTGCCCATGGTCGCGGTCCCCAAGTCAATGTCAAAGCCAGCCCCGCCCCCACGGTAGGCGTAGACACAGTCGTCTGAGTTGATCGACATCTCTTCCGCGTTCAGGTCGTCGTCGTCCAATATGATGAGATCGTCACCATAAAAGTTGTCGCTCGAATAGCTCAGATTTTCAGTCGAGTTGTTTATGGAAGTGCGACTGGAGCTCAGGCCACCGGCAGCCACTTCAGTAGGCGAGAGGGCAGCGGCGGTCTGTTCGAAGCCAGTCACGTCTAGATCAAAATCGCAGTAGACGGCGCTTTCTATCTGAAAGGAACAGAGAAAGTATTTTGTTAATTGTTTTCTGTGGACACGGCGCTGGCCGGCAGGAGAATCACTTGCCTTATCACCGATTTTGGATGAGAGTGCCAATGCAGCGCAATCTCTTGCCTTGACCTCGACAACTCCCCCAGCAGCATTGTCATCGTTATTCGCGACTATGGCCTGCGCTGACGTTGTTGCCCGTTTTTGCTTAGTACCCATTGTTTATCTCCCACGTTCACAATAGACTTCGCTGAGTAAGAGATCCCGAAACCGCCTTTCGATTGCATCAGGGCAATGTACCTATTCATTTCACGAAAACCCACTCCATCTGAAGCCTAGAGATGGCAGCGATACGGGACAGAGACAAAATTTTAAACAGTTATCTGCATATACTCCCTTCACACAGGCGATTAAAAGACTATTCCTACAGGCGACGTTTCTGCAACAGCGCACACTGGGCCAATGGGCCAAAGTCCATTTGTACTTGTTTTATAAAAATTTATAACTTTATAGAATAAGAAATTTGTTCGAGTATTGATCCTTCAGGTACCCTGGGGATATGAAGTGGTTTCATTAATAATAAATTCCTTGGTCAATTAACTATCCGCCGATTGCGCACGGTTTTGCTTTATTTTGCGGATAATATGGTTTAAGATATTGACCTAATCTGAAGGAAAGGCAGTTTTATAGCCTGATTCCAATGGGGCTTAAGTAGACTTTGCATATGTGCCTGATTCCATTGGCGCATTGTGCATTCAGCTAATCCGACCTTGTAATGGCACAAACAGCTGATCTGGGTTTGTCTACTTTTGAGTTGTCGCAAATCAAAACGAAATGAATTAAAAATCATCAGTATGAGTGAGTTTACGGAAATCTTTAATGATCAAGAAGACCAGTACATTTTCTAAAATTGATAAAAGATCCCCATAAATGTGGCAGTTTTTTCCTGTCAGAGATCCAGCAGTTCAATTTGTGGTACTGCGACCAGGATTTCCTGCGTATGCTCTTGCTTTCAGTGATTTACATGCAAAATCGTTTTTTTATTCGAAAGAAATTCTAAAGTGCGTTACCCTTGCATATGGAAAACAACTGAGGTAATGGTGGCACTAACATAATATCGTTAGCTATCGGTATTTTCCGATATTTCCGAACATTTAGCCTAATGGAACTCCCTGTGTAAATAAATGCGCATGAGGCTAAATGCGTTTTTAAGCGCCAATGGAATAGGGCTACAAGCTGGCAACTTCATGATTTTTAATTCTTTCCATTGACGCATTAGTGGCCTTTTTAAATGAGCCTGAATTCATTGCCGCATTTAGAATTTAGCTAATGCTATGTAAATGTTAATGTAAAGAAACCTCAAAATAAGTATTCCCTCTACAAAACAATGGCTCATGAAAACATGAACAAAGATGGTTGACCTGGTGACTTTGTTTACGTTTTAAATAGCCACAGCTGTTCAGATCGGCTGAAATCGGAAGGTTGAAAACTCCAACCGTTTCCAACGGATGGACTTTGTGGAAAGAGGGCAGAATCAGCTTATTAATCCGTTATAATAAATAATTTTCGACTTTTATTTAGGTTAACTATGCCCTATAAAAACCGTAAAAAATATCTAATAATATTGGTTGAAAAGTTCAATATTTTAAGAAGGCAATGGACGTATTCACCAGAACAACAAGATGGATCAGTAATCAGTCATCAAATTTGTTAAGATGGATAAAGTGGCTAATATATTTTTTACACCTGAAAGCAAAGTGTGGACAAATTCTAGTCGATTTCGTCCACCACCAATACTAAAGCACTGAAAACTACAATCGTAGCCACATTCAAATCAAAAAATTCTTTAAAAAAAAGTATAAGTATTTTATGACAGTACATACTTTTACGATGTATGGGTATTAGAATGGGCGTGGTTTATACAGACGGACAGAAGGACAAACAGATGGACATGGCTGGATCGACTCAACCATTGATCCTGATCATGTTTATATATACTTTATATGGTCGGAAACGTATCTTTGGCGGGAAAAAACTTACACATGCACGGGTATCTTTGCTCTTTTTTAAAAATCAACATCATCAGCTACCTTCCTTGTCGTCCAAGTTAATTATTTTAGTTTTGATATGCTGCAATTCAAAAGTAAGCAAACTTACTTACTTAAGACCACGTGTTCGTGCGTAACATGTTAGATTAGCATTAGCTAAATGCTTAATTCGCCAATGGAACCAGACACATTTTAAAAGTTCACCTACTGCGGCAATGAAATCAGCAATAATATTATTAATAATTTCCGACTTTGGTTTAGATTAACTATGCCTTACAAAATCCTAGAAAATTGTATTATTAGAAGGTTGAAAAGTTTGATCTTTTAAGAAGACAATGGGCGTATTCAGCAGAACAACATGATGGATCAGTAATCAGTGATCAACTTTATTTTGCCGACCCCTTAATAGCGTATTTCTACAGATATCCATCCACCTTCCACCATTCGTTGAAGGTATGGTCCATAAGGTTTTGCCGTTCCAAAATCTTTCCAGTCATTCCGCCGTTGAAATTTGACGGACTAATTTATGCGATAGTTAGCCGATGTTTTTGCGGCGCAGCCCTGTTCCAACGCAGTCCATCCCTGAAATCCCGTTGAGAATTTTGAAAAAGTGAAACTCCGAATTTCGCAGAGCACATTACCCTTCCACCATCCGACTTCAGCTTATCTGAACAGCTGTGGCTCATGAAAACATAAACAAAGCTGGTTGACCTGTTGACTTTGTTTACGTTTTGTCGAGCCACATCTGTTCATATCAGCTCAAATCGGAAAGTGGAAGGTGGATGTGCTCTGTGGAAATCGGAGTTTCACATTTGTTGAAAATTCCAACCGTTTCCAACGGATGGACTGTGTGGAAAGAGGGCATTAGAAAAATTCTGCCGTCGTTAAAATTATCGGCTTGGAACCTATCAGTATCGAGATGTTTCGTGCCAGAAACAGCTGTGTTTAACAAAAACAACAAGTTTGGACAGGTGTTCGTACGAGTATATTTTTTTATTAAGAAAGATAAAGTGGTTAATTTTTTGCTTTTTTTTCATTTGCCTCTTGACCAATGCTCTAGTCTATTTCGTCCACCACTGATACTAAAGCACTGCAAACTCAGGCTTCGTAAATCAGTACATATGTTTCGAACATGAAAATGTAACGCACACAGTAACTTTCTCACCTTTGTAATGTCCTACCTATCAATCCGCACAGTTCTCAATTTTGCAAGGGGTCTCTCCTGGTCTCACCTGTTCACTCTGGTCTAGTCCCTTCCACTCAGATGCTAACATTGCGCGATTCTTAATTAGGCATGCAGAACGGAAAAACATTGTCTGATTGGGACTTATGGTAAGCGACTAGCAAACAGCCTGCGGGGGGTTCTTCGACTCTGTAATTCAACAACCCCCGCCTTATTTTTAATATCCCACTGCTCTTTGACTTTCTACGATGACTACGTTATTATATACTCAAAACTACATTGACAAACGGCCTTAATATTACACCTTTTTGATTGGTGGTTACCAAGTTGTTCGGGCAGCCATGAATCTTTACCCACCTTACCTTTAATTTTCTAGCACCGAGTTTGAAAATACCATTCAAAGAGAATTTAAAAACTTTAGCAAGACATCACATCATACATTTTCTTTATTTCAGAAGTATAATATTTCTTTCATTTTTGTTTCTTATCTATCGCTATATCTTAACTAACACATTATTTATTTCAAGGTTCTGTTTCCTAAATTATTCTCGCTTACAAGGAATATTCGTTATAGGTTATTTGAGTGTGCTGCTTCGCAACTTTTAAAGAAAATAATAATTAAACTTATTATAGGTTTCTTACAAACGTGAATGATACGGGCTAATTCAGGACATATAGGTTCATATACAACGAGAATTACACTCACCCAACTGTAGGTTCCGTCGACGGCCTTCGTCGTTCTGGTTTCTTAATCTGCTTTCTATACAATGTTCAGGCTGGGCTAAAAATTAGGCAAGGTCTTATAGCCGGAATTCATTGGCGCATTAAAACGCATTTAGCCTAATGCGCATTTATTTACACAGGGAATGCCGATGTTTAACGATATTTTCTTCGAGCTACCACTACAACATCTGTTTTCTGTATGCAAGGTTGGCGCAATTTTTAAAAAAAAAATTCTAAATGACTGAAAACAAGAACCCACGCTACAAATTCTGCTCGCAGTACCATAATGCAATTACTGCTGGATATCTGGCAGGAAATAACTCCCACATATACGGGGATCGTTGCCCTTTTTAGAAACTGTGATGGTCTCCATTGCAAACCCGGCAAACAACACCATCAGATTCTCTTCCTTGTCGTCCAAGTTGGCAAATGCCTTGGTCGCGTTATGAATGTCCTGCTGAGCATTAAAGAGTTTAAATTAATTTCTTTTGGATTTGCCAAAATTCAAAAGTAAGCAAACCCAGATCATCTGTTCGTGCCACTCACATCTCGGAGTAGCACTAGCTTAATGCTAATGCGCCAATGGAATCAGGTACATTTAAAAAGTTCGGCAATGGAATCAGGCTATTAGTCGCCTGCGCTTCGGGTTGGCCGATTCGCTTCTGGTAGCTTTGTGGTGGTGCTGCCCCTTTTTCGCTGTTCCAATCCGCGTGTGACACCGCTTGCAAGGCGTTGAGGTGCTGTGGTACCTCTGTAGAGACACAGTTTGTTATCCGGACGTGTCCGAGAATTAGCACAATTATGTAGTCCACGTGGTTGAGGATCTACTGAAGGCTACGCGTTTAGTCGAGCTACGCAAGGTTGGTAGATACTCCTTTAGCTTGCAGCGTCGTAGTTAGTTCTCAAAGGCGGCTCACAGTTTGACCGCCAAGGTTGCTTGTTCGAAACACTTGAAAACTTTTATGTGAGGACGGGCCGTACGCTTTGAAAACTACTGCCTCCACTGGGTTGTTAGAGACTTATCCCTGCTCTTGATGCTTGATCGCTTTATGCTTGGCGATAGAGATCGTTAAGCTGCAGCCGCAGTGTAGGCAGCCGACACGGGACTTAAATACTCCTTGTCTTTTAGCCTGATGAGTTTTGTGGCCCTTGGTACTGCTGATATCACCGGTCTTCAAGCCGCTGGCGCTTGCGATAGAGGCTTTGTTCTCCGATTCTTTTAACTGGATCTCGTCCGCTTCCTGGATCGTAAAAAGGTAGGTAGATCCCCGTGGTTACGCATGCTAGCGCACAATTTTTATAAAGCTAACCATGCGCACCTGGTGAGTGTGAGTGAGTGTGGTTGCGCTTTTTGCAGAAAAATAACTTTGCCGGAAA